TATCTGCTAGGATCCTTGCATGTGTAAAGATCTTCTCTCAAGAGAGAACTCTACTTGAAGTCCCATCCAGACTTCTGTTTGAATAGAAAAGGCTTCCGCCAGTGGAATGGGACTTCATGAAATGAATAGGCTATATATGAATCTTGGAATGGGCTTGGTGGGTTTGGCTTGTTATTCCTGCAGTAGAGAGCAGCCACCAAGTTTTCCTGAAGTTGATTTGTTTTATTCTGATTTTCTTTTCCAGTTCATCGAATTGGACGTACTGGTCGTTCAGGGAATACTGGGATTGCCACCACCTTCATCAACAAAGCCTGTGGTGAGGAGCCAAGAGGGGCTGCTATGCAAGTGTGTGAAGGATGTGTCATCAATGGGTCATACTGGCAGGACTGTGTCCTAGTGCTGTGAAAGCCTGGGATTGACTTAGCCAGACATGCAGCGGTCATGCAGTCTTATGCATGACCACTGAAAATAGAATTCACATCCAGACAATCACATTAGTCTGGAATGTCAGTCTACAAAGATATCATGTAGTACCTTGGACACCACCAGAGAGAACAAAGTTGGTAGCATTAGCTTCCATAGGCCTATGCTACCAATTTCATTTTCTCAGTGATAATTATGTATTAGATCTGCTTTTTTTTGCCGAAGGAGAGTCATAGTGGCTAACAATAAAAACCATAATAATGTGTGAATTAAAACATAACACATACAAACATTAAAATAGAGTTAAATATTACGGGTATTAAAAATAAATAGATAAATCCTTAAAATCAATGAAAACCTATCCATATCTAAAACTACAACACCCCCCCCCCCCCCCCAATCTTGATCTGCAAAACCTTCTTTAAAAGCCTTCCTGAATTAAAAGGTTTTAGCTGCCGGAAGGAGGAGGGGCATTCTGGCTTTCCTGGGAAGAAAAGAGTTCCAGAGTCAAGAGGCAGCCACCCAAAAGGCTCAATCTCTCATTCTCACCAATTGAGCTTGAGATGGAGGTGAGACTGAGCGAAGGGCCTCTCCTGAGCATCTCAAGGCCCAGACAGGTACATACAGCATGGTGTGATCAGCCAAGTAACCTGCACCTGAGCATATAGTTAATCTTTCAATCTGCATAAACTGCTACAGGATCCCTTTTCATGCAGAAAGTAGAATATTCTATGGAACCAGGGTATGGTTTGCCTGGTTGACTATTGCCTTCCTTGTGGAGATATTGCCTACTCAAATGCAGGCAATTTTTGCTGCTTTCTATAACTAGGACTAGGGCAGTGGTTCACAATCTTTTTTTGACCAGGGAACACTTGACCAGGGACCACTCTCCAACATTAATACCAAAAGGGTTATGAATCGGTTTTTGGTCAGCTTTAGATTCGGTTTGGTTATTTGGGGTGCTGATTCAGAAAATTGTATTGGATAGACCACATTGGCTCTAGTTTCCGATACAGAACATATGCCATCCAGTAGTCGTGATTTGCTCGCCCACAGAAAACCATATTTAATAAGTGTCAGCACTATAAGAAGTTTTTGCAAGACCAGTCACTCTTGTTGCCATGGACCATATTTTAGTTCTTGTGGACCACTGGTGATCCACGGACCACAGGTTGAGAGCCACTGGTCTAGGCTCTAGAATGGATGTCCACTTTGCTCTCTCTAATATTCTGATTTGTTCTGACTTTCCTGTTTTTATCCAGATGAGTCAGTGCTTATGGACTTGAAGGCACTGCTGCTGGAGGCCAAGCAAAAAGTGCCCCCCGTGTTGCAGGTGCTGCACTGTGGAGATGAATCCATGTTGGATATTAATGGTAAGTAGCTGGTTCTTGGAGGGGAGGGGAGTGATTAAGAGAGTGGGATGGTCTGCGGCAGTAGATGTGCAGTTCCATTGGGAATTGGGAAGGCATCTTAATCCCTAGAAAGTATCCCAGTGACAGTTGACTTGTAAGAAAATCAGCAGCTTAATCATGGCAAACTGGAACAATTGCCATGGTTTGCTGATGTTATACTTTAAGCCAGTGGTGCACAATCAGGGTTTTTGTTTTGCCCTGAGGATTGCCGGTGATTTTGGTAGAGAGAAGCAGGGAGAATGCCCATGCATTCTAGAATACCCATGTGCTGAGAGGAGAAGAATGTAATCCACAAAAAGGGGTGGGGAGGGCACCCGCACATACATATATCTGGAATGAGAGAGGATAAACCCCCTTTATCTGCGTAGTAGCTTCAAGAAGAAACAACTGAAGAAGGACTGATCAAACAGTAATACAAGAGGGAGGCCTAATCTTTTCCATCACCTTTACCAATGTCGACGTCAGGCTCTTTACCAATGTGTTCCAAAGAGCCTGACATCGCCATGACAAGTGCTTAGTGTCTGAATGTTGCATAAACATGGACCTGAATTCTGATTTGACAATATGTATTTATTGAGATAGCACAAGTCAACAAAATCCAACTTTTTGTAATAATCAGAAATGAGAATAGCACAGTTTAAATAATCTTAATGCTGATTTTAAATATGTATTGTTTTCTATCATGGCGACTTTTAAAAATATGACAAATGGCACATTACAGCAGACTACTATAAAGTCTGCCTATTTCACATCATATTTGTGTAACACAAGCCAACAATTATTTTCATCAGATATGATTTACATCATTCTTATAGAGTTTTTCACGTGGCTTATTTATAGAGTTTTTCACTGTGTTTATTTTTTCTCTATAATAGTAATAATAAGGCCACCTTACTGGGATCTGCACGCATTATTGGCCGATACATCACACAGTCCTAGACATTTGGGAAGTGTGACATGTGATCCAATACAACAGCCAGCAGAATGATCTTGTTTGCTGTAGATTTATCTTGTTGTGTTTCAAATAATAATAGTAATATATTTATTTATTTATTTATTTATATTCTGCTCTATCTCCCTGGAGGGACTCAGGGTAGATCTCAGACATAAAAGGCAAACATTCAATGCCTGAATACAACAACAATACATCCATATTAACAAAATTTAACAACCCAACATATAAACATGAATTATGACTTAACAACTAAAATTAAATACAAAACGCAGCCTGTTATTACAGATATAAGACAAAACATCAAACAGAAGCATCAATTTCCCAGTTCCTTGGGGCAAATAGATTGATAGTTGCTCAAGATATCTATTGAGCTGGTAGGGCGAGCAGGGCACAGATACAGATGGTAGCTATTAATCAGAGGTATAATGGTAGTTTTACCAACTCCTCCTCCTCGCAAGCCAGTGAGCTAAGGTATGTCTTCAGCTGTTTCTTGAAAGCGGTGGGGGAGGGGGCCATCTTTAACTCCTTAGGAAGGGTGTTCCAGAGGTGTGGGGCAGCCACAGAGAAGGCCCTTTCTCTCGTTCCCACCAGCTGTGCTTGGGACGGGTGGGACTGAGAGGAGGACCTCCTCTGATGACCGCAGTGTCTGAGTTGGTCTGTGGAGGGAGATGTGGTTTGTCAAATAGTCTGGACCCAAGCTGTCATCATGTGTAGTTTTTGTGATAAGGCTAATCGAATAAGTAATGCATTTACACACTGATATTAATTAGATTTTATTGATATCAGTGTAGAAATGCATTAATTATTCGATTAGCCACATCGTAAAAACTACATGTGGTAGAGGAAAAAAAAACCACTGATCTGAATTCAGCATGAAAAACTCCATAAGAATGATCTAAAATGATATCTGATGAAAAATACTTGTTGGTTTGCATGATTTTTATTCCACTCTTCAGCCACAAAGCCACTCAGAACAGCTTACTAAATGTTTATTTTTCTTTGGGCTTACAATCTACAATGTATTTCTTAATCTTTCAGGCGAGAGGGGCTGTGCCTTCTGTGGGGGCCTGGGTCATCGTATCACTGACTGCCCCAAGCTGGAAGCCATGCAGACGAAGCAAGTCAGCAACATTGGACGCAAGGATTATCTAGCCCATAGCTCCATGGACTTCTAGATACACTCTGGTTTTTGGCAGGCCACAACCAAGCAAATGAACAGATCTCAGTGCCCTGGGGGCTAATATTTCTCAACTGCCATTTGTAGGTTTGGTTTACTGTACGGCAGAATATTGTCACCTAGAGTAGGAAAGAAGAGATACCAGTGCAGTTGCTCCCTTTTAGGGGCTTTTTGCTTTCTCGTTTTTGTGGTAATTACTGACCTTGCCCTAGGCCAGAAGCAAGCCACAAAGATTGCCCAGTCTCCCAAGCTCCTGTGTATTGCGGATGTACATATTGGGATGCCTTGTGCTGGTTTCTGACAGTTGCTTGGCCATGGTCACACAGATTGGGTGTATATAGGTGTGAATGGCTCTTTTCAGACCCAAGTTTCCTTTTAAGATCTTGAGCTGTTCCCTTCTAAATGTGGCGGTCTAGTGCTGCAATCAGCCATTGCATCAGTAACTGTTGTCATGCATCATTGAGCAAGCTCCATATGACCCAGCAGGTGGCCGTGATAGGAAGGAAGAAAGGAACTGAACTGAATATCACCACAAGGAAAAGATCTTTCTTTGGACTTCAGCTCCCAGAACTCCTCTGCCTCTGACTGTGCTGACTGGAGGCAGTCTAAAATAATAGTGTTTCCAAGCTTCCAGCCATTGGGAGTTCTGCTATTGCTTTCATTAACTCTAGTCACAAACTTTTGAGGTTTTACATATCCTTAGTTTGATGTGTTCTTCTTCCTCAACTGCTTCTATCATTGTTGCGTGACTGTTGTAGGCCTGCTCAGAGGTGGCCTCTGCAGCTGTGGGGAGACACTCTGGCGACCCACCAACGTTTGCTGAATCAAAAGTCCCCTGGGACTTGCCTGTGTGTCTCCCGGGACTGTTCTCTTTAGTACAGCTCCCAGTATGCATGCAGGCCCAAAAGAGGAAGTTGGCAGGCAGAGGAAGTCACCAGTGCTATCGTACATACTGACTCATTCCTGTGGCGGCCACAAGAGCTCACAGGCTGAGTGATCTCTTTCTCCTTCCTTACTGTTTGGAGCCTATCCCATGGAGTGCCCAGTGAAAGATGGGATCCTCTATATTCATCATCCAAAATTTGGGAAGGTAAAAATGGGTATTTGCTTAGTGGAAAGAAGGGATTATCCCAGGAAGCCTTCATTGGACAAATTGTTAAGTCCCACTAGATTCAGGGTAACAATGTCCTAGCACTTTCCAGGTCATCTCTAGGGGCTGGGGGGGGGGGGGGGGGGGGGGGGGGGGGGGGGGGGCTTTTGTGATGCGGGATGGAACCTGCAACTGCTGGGCTTTTTGAAACCTAATATCTGTTTCCAGTCTTTCTTTTGTGTCACATTACTGAATTGTAGCCAAGTGTTACATTGCCTTTGAATGTAAATTATTCCAGTAATAAAATTAAAGTGACAAGTTGTGTGAATTAACTGGTATGGTGGAAATTAATTTCGCCATAAAGTTTGAACTGGTTCCCTTGTTTATACCTGAAAGGGTGTGATCTCTAGGAAAACGGAATTGGCTAAAACCTCAGTGTTAACAACACTGAGCTAGATGGATTTAGCTTTCTGTATTCTTAGGGCAGCTTTTGGGATTCTTAGTTTCCAGGGGTAAACTAAGGTGAAACTTTTATCTTGTAATGTATGAAGCTGTTCTTTAGCTTTTAGCTTTCTGTGCTAAGCTTAAATTTGGAGCCTCAATTTGGACAGTCACACAAGTAATAACATGTAAAAAGCTGCCTTGAGTCCCCTCAGGGAAGACGGCAATGTATAAATAAAGTAAATAAATAAAAATTATTCATTGATCTTTGGTTCCTACAATGTACATTGTTGTTACATGGTCATCTATTCATCCGTAAGGTTATGCATCCTCCCTGCTCAAAGTCTTATTAAACCAATGCTAAATCAGTGAAGAAAGTTGAATCATACAATCATAGAGTTGGAAGAGACCTCGTGGGCCATCCCATCCAACCCCCTGCCAAGAAGCAGGAAAATCACATTCAAATGTGATACTTCATTTCTCTCTCATCCTACAACCAAAGTTTTATGATACCAGGGACAGACAGATATGTGTGTAGGAAGCCTTAGTATGGTAAAGGTTTTTTCCCTGACATTAAGTCCAGTTATGTATTACTCGGGGGGTTGGTGCTCATCTCCATTTCTAACAGTGGGAGCTCACCTCGCTCCCCGGATTCAAACCTGCGACCTTTCAGTCAACCTTAGTATATGTGTGTGCATATATGGCAGGAGCAGTTATTTTGTGTGTACAGTTTTTGGTTGCTTTCTTACAATGGCTCATTTTGTATCTCCTTTCTGACTAACCCAGCCTCCCACTCTTATATTCATATTTCAGTAATGAAGCTACAACATAGCTATTAAAAGATTTCTTTCCTTGGAAAATTAATGGGTTTTTTTCCATGGGATCCTCTACAAATCAACACAATTGTTTTCCATCTGTTCCAGGTTATTTGCTTTGTTCTGCTTGTTTGTCATTCAGGATTTTGGAAAGCGTTCCCAGACATTAACAAAGTTAGGGAAATGGGATTTCTATTTCTCATAGTGGATTCAAAAAGAGCTTTCACTTTATTTCCTTATGCATTCCAGCCAGGTGGCACTTTCCTATGCAGCATGTGTTTACTCCATATCTTGAAAGTGACAGGCTAGAAATAACAGTGTTATGTAACAGAGCAATTTTTTTAAAAAGCCCAAAATTCTTGTTTCTTCCAAATGTTACATTTTAAGACAATTTGTAGGTAGTCAGTAGGTTTTCAAGTTTTATGGCATGTTATCAGTCCCAAGGACTTACCTCCACCCCTTCGAAATGGTCAGAAAACAATCAGAAACAAATGGGCACCACAATAACCAAGTTTACAATATCTATAGGCTGCTTTTTAAATTACTATGGTGACCTAAACACACCAGATCTCAATTTATCTTGAGAGCTTAGCAAAGTTAGTACTTGAATGGGAGACCAGTAACAAATAGAATCCTTGAGTTGGAAGAGACCTCGTAGGCCATCCTGTCCAACCCCCTGCCAAGAAGCAGGAATGTCAGGTGCTGTGTGGACTATATTTCAGAGGAAGGAAGAGGCCAAACCACCTCTGAGCATTCTTTGCTTATGAAATTCATGGAATTGCCATAAGTTGATAAGCAATTTACACAACTCGTGGGGTCAGGGATTCGCTTGAATCGTCTCTCTCTCCCACTGTTCAACGGTTGTGCTGTGGTCACCAGCGAATGGAGGCCAAGCGTCAGCCCTCCCAAGGGTGCTGCTGGTGGGGGACCAGAGGCCTAGCTGCTGCCTGCACATGTGAGGAGGAGATGGTGTGATCACTCAGACGAAATGGTTCAGTGGCTTTCTCATTTTCAATCAGCTGCTTTACCCACTTGCAAATTTCACTGACTCCATTATGACCCCCAGAGGCACAGATATTTTAGAATTTGAGGAGTAGTGTTCAAATAGCTGCACTTAGATTATCTCAGCCTGGCAGCAACCCTGAAAAAGAAGCAGGGCTTATTGTCCCCATAATGCCAAAGGTAACCTAGTGAGAGGACACAAACAGAAGATTTTCTGTATTGTCGAAGGCTTTCATGGCTGGAATCACTGGGTTGTTGTAGGTTTTTTGGGCTATATGGCCAAGTTCTAGAAGCATTCTTTCCTGATGTTTCGCATGCATCTATGGCAAGCATCCTCAGAGGTTGTGACCTCACAACCTTTGAGGATGCTTGCCATAGATGTAGGCGAAATGTCAGGAGAGAATGCTTCTAGAACATGGCTATATAGCCCGAAAAGCCTAGAACAGTGGTTCTCAACCTTTGTAATGCCGCGATCCTTTAATCCAGTTCCTCATGTTCTGGTGACCCCCAACCATAACATTATTTTTGTTGCTACTTCATAATTGTAATTTTGCTAGTATTATAAATCTCATTTGCAGGACCAAATTTGGCACAAATACCCAAAACACCCAAATCTGAATACTGGTGGAGTTTGGGGAAAATAAACCTTGACATTTGGGAGTTGTAGTTGCTGGGATTTATAGATCACCTACAATCATACAGCATTCTGAACTCCACCAATGATGGAATTGAACCAGACTTGGCACACAGAACTCCCATGACTAACAGAAAATATTGGAAGGGTTTGTTGGGCATTGACCTTGAGTTTGGGAGTTGTAGTTCACCTACATCCAGAGAGCATTGTGGACTCAATAGATAATATCATAATGTAATACAATATAATACTAGTAATAATAATAATTCAATATTATAATTATAATTATATATTTACATTACATGTAATATTACTAATAATATTACAATATAATGGTATAGTGCAATATAGTAATATATACTGATATTGTACTATGCTAATAATATAATATATTGTATGAAAATATATATTGTAAGCCGCTCTGAGTCCCCTTCGGGGTGAGAAGGGCGGCATATAAATGCCGTAAATAAATAAATAAATAAATAAATCTGGACCAGACTTGGCATGGATGATCAATATGCCCAAATGTGAAAACTGTTGGAGTTTGGAGAAAATAGACCTTGACATTTGGGAGTTGTAGTTGCTGGGATTTATAGTTCACCCACAATCAAAGAGCATTCTGAACCCCACCAATGATAGAATTGGGCCAAACGTCCCACACAGAACCCTCATGACCAACAGAAAATACTGTGTTTTCTGGTGGTCTTTGGCGACCCCTCTGACACCCCCTCGCGACCCCCTCAGGGGTCCCGACCCCCAGGTTGAGAAACACTGGCCTACAACAACCCACTGAAGATTTTCTGTCTCACAGCTTCCACTCTTGGTTGTTGCTCCACATTTGCCTTATTGTGCTAAGACAGTTACTTCCAAAATGCGCATCTCTGTTCATGAATTGGTGTGTGGCTACTACTGAGTGAGAATGAAAGCACTTCTAGCTGATGGATGCCTGACTAGGAAGGGTTCACACTGTGTTGTTGACCTTTCTTGGATTTCTCAGCAAGTATTATAGAAGTTGCCTGCAGTTAACTCCATGGTTACCAGGAGGATATGAAAGAGATGCCAAGGAGGAAAGATGGAGCAGATTAGCATCTGGGGATTTTATTTTGGATTTGGTGTTATATTCCTCCCTTCAGGCCCTCTCCCCAAAGCAAATTTATGGAAACAGCACCTGCCCTTGCTATCTCTTTTCTTCCCTTGCTATTCTCTGTACTGGTAAAAACCCTCCTTTGTACCAATTCTAAAGATTTTTTTTAAAATTCCTTATGCTGCATTGTGCCAAACATTATCACCGAAAGTGTACTGAATTCGTAAATAACATGATCATGTTTCCAAAATGTGCTGTTTTTTCGCTCTACAGAGTGTTTTTGTCCACTGATACCCAATGCAGGCTCAATAGAGGAGGAATATCACATTTATCTGTATCTCTGGTCATCAATCCTTCGCCTCCTATTCTTGATATCGATGCTGTAACCAAGAGACACAATTTCTCTTGAAGGAGGTGAAGTCTTAGAGCTGCCAGACTGAAAACTGGAGAGGGTTCCTATACCTTTAAAAGTTGTGCAGAAGAGGGATTTTCAGTAAGTGTTTGTTGCCTGGTGGAATAACAATTATATCTACTGAAATCCTCTCTTCTGTAGAACCATTAAAGAGACAGGACTTCTCTCTAGTTTCCACTCTAGCAACCCAATGTATTCTACCTTCCTGCATGGGTGCAGATCAGACTTTAAAATATCTTTTGTGAAGCCTACTAAAGTTTTTTCTCTCATTCTTCCTGGTCACCAGAACTAAATAACCTCATGGTCATATATGTATAGAGATCAAATATGCAATTCTGCTTATTGTGTTTCTCTAAAGCTACTTTGCTCCTTTATTTCTTAAGCTCATAGAATCATAGAGTTGGGAGAGACCTCATGGGCCATCCAGTCCAACCCCCTGCCAAGAAGCAGGAAATTTGTATTCAAAGCACCCCCGGCAGATGGCCATCCAGCCTCTGTTTAAAAGCTTCCAAAGAAGGAGCCTCTACCATACTCCGGGGCAGAGAGTTCCACTGCTGAACGGCTCTCACAGTCAGGAAGTTCTTCCTAATGTTCAGATAGAATTTCCTTTCTTGTAGTTTGAAGCCATTTTTCCACATCCTGGTCTCCAGGGCAGCAGAAAACAAGCTTGCTCCCTCCTCCTTATGACTTCCTCTCACATTTTTATACATGGCCATCATGCCTCCTCACAGTCTTCTCTTCTGCAGGCTAAACATACCCAGCTCTTTAAGCCACTCCTCATAGGGCTTGTTCTCCAGACCCTTGATCATTTTAGTCGCCCTCCTCTGGACACATTCCAGCTTGTCAATATCTCCCTTCAATTGTGGTGCCCAGAATTGGACACAGTGTGATTCCAGGTGTGGTCTAAACAAGGCAGAATAGAGGGGTAGCATGACTTCTCTGGATCTAGACACTAGACTCCTATTGATGCAGGCCAAAATCCCATTGGCTTTTTTTGCTGCCACATCACTAAACTAATGTGAGCGAGCTTAAGAAATAAAGACTAGCAAATCATAGCTGAATGTAAGAAATAAAAGCTAGCAAGCCATAGATGAGGGCTGTGAAGGCACTACATTCTGTCAATGTCACATTTAACCATTCAGTTTATACACCTTTTCAGACTTCTCTCTGTGCCTGTGTGTCATAGAGTGTGTAGGCAAAAGTACAATATTCTGTGTCAAACATTTGTGTGTGTGTGCATGTGTGTAGTGTGCATTTATTTATTTATTTACAGCATTTATATACCACCCCTCTCACCCTGAAGGGGACTCAGAGTGGCTTATAAGTTATATGTAAATACAATATATTATATTATTAGCATAGCACAATATTAGTACCATACATTCTCATATTGTACTATACCACTATATTGTAATATTATTAGTAATATTACATGTAATATTAGCTTCTAATAAACAATCTGATGGCTTTATTTCTTTCTGTCTGGATCACTAGTTCATTTCTGCCAGAATGCTTCCTCTTTTCTATTCCTATTTGCCTCTGTACACATTTTCCAGCCTGAAGAATTGCTTCCCAGAGTGTTTGTTCACCTCTGTATGTCACTCATTGTAAGCTGCCACCCTTTGCTTCTGCTCACAGAAGGCCTGGCGGAAAGTATGGGCCCAGCTCTTTGCCGACAGCCCCTCCGGTGTTGCACGGCTAGAGTACTTCGAAGCTCGTGAAGGGGTCAAAGCAGAAAAGGCAACTCTGCGGAAGGGGGAGCGCAAGGTGATCCGCCTCTCCGACTGTGTCTCCGTGGAACGGGCTGAGGAACAGAGCTCTCCCAAGGACACCACACCCTTTTGCTTGTGCATGATGGAGCGCAATTGTTTCCTGGCGGTGGATCAGCCAGATGAGTGGATAGAATGTATTTGCCAACTGGCTTTTCAGGTAAGGATCCCCCAGCAACGTTGCTTCCATCACAATGTCCTGACTTTCCACTCAGTGCTCATTTGTCAGCCATATAAGACTTGATGGAAAAGCTAAACTGCAACTGCTTTCCCTCAGATTGTTGTGCTTCATTGCAACTTTCCTCCATTGAGCAGGGAGTTGGACTAGATGACCTCTGCAATATTTTCCAACTTGAATGGCATCATATTCTCTTTTTTCTTATTATCGAACAAGAATCTTGGGTTGCATGCATATATTCTGGATTAGATCACTCCAATGAGTAATGTTTTCTGACCACTCAATAGGAGTTTGCTGATGTGTTTTTAAGTGGTTGTATGTTTTAAAATTGGTCCTGAAGAGAGCTTGAAAATATAATACAGATTGAGTATTCCTTATCAGAAATGTTTAAGACCAGAAGTGTTCTGGATTTTGGATTTTTCCCCAGATTTTGGAACACACATAATGAGCTGTCTTGGAAACGGGACCCAAGTTTGTTTCATATACAATTTATAAACATAGCTTGAATGTAGTTTTAAACACAATATTTTTAAATAGTTTTGTACATAAACCAATTTTGTGTGCATTGAACTGTGAGAAAGCAAAAGGGTCTCTGTCTCACCCACTCATGGGTACAATTTTAGAATTTGGAGTTCTGAAAAAGGTAGGCTCAACTTAAAATCCTAGAGTTGGAAGAGACCTTTGCCAAGAAGGAGGAAAATCACATTCAAAGCACCCCCAAAAGATGGCCATCCAGCCTCTGCTTAAAAGCCTCCAGAGAAGGAGTCACCACCACACTCCGGGGCAGAGAGTTCCACTGCTGAACAGCTCTCACAGTCAAGAAGTTCCTCCTAATGTTCAGGTGGAATCTCCTTTCCTGTAGTTTGAAGCAATTTTCCACGTCCTAGTGGAAATCAAGCTTGCTCCCTCCTCCCTATGACTTCACTGTCACTGTTGGACTACAGTTTCCAGAGCCTTCAACCGGAATGGCCATGGTTGGGGGTTTTTTAATCTAGAAAGAAACTGTTCCAAGGTCTGGTTCTGAAAATAAGTATTTAGACAGACTTACAAAAAATTTCATGTTCTCAAGGAACAGAAGTTGTGGTGAAGACCTGGAATTTCTAGACAATATATCCTTTGCTGTTTGTTCCAAAAACCCAGGTTTTTCAGAGTTTTCAGCCTTCAATGATTTTAGTAAGACTTCCTTCCAAGTAAATAAAATGTATAGGAATTTAGTCTTAATGTGCAAAGACACTCTCTGACTTTAATGTACGTTTCTTCTTAGAAATGGATTTCTTATCCTCATGTACAATGAAGATAACAGCAGTCTCGTTTCTGAGGTTGCTAAATGGCAAACAAGATAATAAAAGTTAAGATGCTATTTGTGCAGAAAGCGTGCCTAGCAAATGACGATAGCAGAACTGATAGCAGAACCAAGGTTGAGAGAAACTGACTCATGGGGAAGTATTCTCTAGATAACAACATCCATAACTGATCTCTCAACAAAAAATTAAATTCTTTTTCTGCAGGTTTGTAGTCTAATATTCCAAAGGTGCAAAAAGAAAGCAAAAACATGGCTGTTAGGGTTAGATGGCTCTAGTGCAGGCATGGGCAAACTTCAGGTATTTTGGACTTCAACTCCCACAATTCCTAACAGGCTCAGGCCTTTTCGTTTTCAAGAAGGGGCCTGAGGCTGTTAAGAATTGAGGGGGTTAAAGTCCAAAACACCTGGAGGGCCAAAGTTTTGTCCATGCCTACTCTAGTGGTTCATAAGCACAATAAAAGTTGGGAGTGAATAAATGTATATTGCTAATACACATGAAATGTCTAATGGTTGCAATACTAGAAATTGCCCGTGGTTTAGGGTAAGGCAAATGAAGCAGGTGTATGAGACATTTTTTCTAAGGATCATATAGATTGCGGTAAAAAAAAGGCCTCACCAGAAATGTCCAGTTTTGAAAAAGCCAGAAGTTGATTTCTAATAGATTATGGCGGATTTTTAAAAGGCTAATTGGAAGGAGTGACGATCCACCCTTTTGACTGGCTGAGAAATATGTATTTAGAGCATCAGTTGGAATTGGGATGGAAAGGCTATATGCAGCTTCAGGGGGGACCTTTTCCCCACCCTTGGTTTAATTTGTAGTTCTAATGTTGCTATCAGATGATGGGACCCTGTGATATTTTCATCTGAAGGAATGCTTTCCTTTAATTCATTTTCTCTTTCCTGTTACCTGCAGAAACCTCCTGGCCCATGCAGTGCAGTGGTGAACACCCCCAGCCCACGTCCCCTAATGGAAGAGAATACCATTTACTCATCCTGGCAGGAAGGTAAGTGTCCTCCTGGCCTCAGGCTTAAGGTGGGGGCTTGGTTCCAATCAAATGGTCAAAGGAATCCTGTCTCTTTCTGTGGGACTTACTTTCAGAGTGAGTGACCACTTCTTAGATAAAGGCCCTCTGGAAAACCCAGGCTTGGGGGAATCTTTCCTGTAGCTCAAAATCCTTTATGACAAGAGTGGAGGGTTCCTTTCATCCCAATGGCCAGACTTAATAGCGGGGGGGGGGGGGGGGGGCAAACTATTTTGGGGAAAAATGAACTGGTTCCTATACACACTGCACATAACTTATCTGTAATGCAAAAAAAAAAAAATGAAAGACAAAACAATATTTAAAATGAAGAACAATTTTCACCAACATGAACTTACCGATCTTTCAATGGGAAGAGTGGGCTTAATTTTGGATGATGAAATAGTCAAGTTAATTAGGATTGTTGTTGTGTGCCTTCAAGTAATTTCAGATTTAGGGCAAACCTACGTCTAAAGTTTAAGGCAAGGGGCAGGTAAATGACCTTTGAGGGCCGCATCCAGCCCATAGGCCTTAGAATAAGGAGGAAATGCATGCAGGAGTAGGAAAATTGCCAATTGATCATGTAATTGACATCTGGGGTAGCCCAGAGGAGATTCAAGACTTAAGGAGGGGCCAAATATTCCTTGCTTTTTTGGCAACCTTTGCTCCAGCCTGGATCTAAATCTAGTTGCTAATCCAGACCCAGATATTGTGTGAAATACACAGATTATAGTTACCCTTGATTTCCACAAGCTGTAGCTTTTTATGCAGTTTTTCTTGGTGTAGAATGTATTTCATTTGTAAACTGAGGACCTTCACAAGAGAAGAGTAATTTTTTACAATCCCTTCCCAACAGCATGTGAGTACCCCGTGGTGGTCTTCCCCACTGAAGCTTCTGCTCGATGTCACCTGAAGGGAAACTACCTGGTGGTCCCTTTATTTGATCAGTTGGTGCTGAAGGATGTGCAATCTGGGCAAACTCTCTATACCTGGCCTTACACCTTCCTTCGAAGATTTGGCCAGGAAAAGGTATGCAAATAAACATTAAGTTTTAGCATGAACTTTAAAGAAGCAACCCAAGATGCTGGATCACATCTCAAAATAACTTTAGAACCATTGATACTACCTTTAAATCTGGACCAAAACTTGGATTCAACTCACTGCCCCACTGAACTGGTAGCCACCAGTCTGCACTGACAATACCAGACCTCTAGTGAAAATCCTTAAAAAGCGAGTCAAGAATGAAAGATATCCTGTTTTCTTCTGCAGCCTGAAGAACATTTTTGCAATAAATTAATTATTGGCCAACCCAAAATTCAGTCAGTTGCTCTCCATTTTTTTATCCTAGGCCAAATTTTCCTACAGTCATTGATTTTGCTCTGGTTTATACTGTTTGCACTCCAATTGCTGCCGATGATTGACCAGAAACCCTATTTTAGTGTGTAATTGATTTCCTCCCGGAGTCCAGCATATAATCTTTCAATTTCCTTTTCTGCTTTTCTGAAGCTGAAGCATAAACTTAGATTATGGTTGTATTGGTAGGTTTTCCCTGAAGTCTTATTGATATTCTTCAGTAGATTTTGCTTTGCAGTCAGCCTTCTCTATTCATAGGTTCTGCATCCACAGATTCAACCAACCATAGTTTGGAAATATTCAGAAAAACAAATTTCCAAAACAGCAAGCCTTTATTTTCCTACATACCAAGCACTATGCTAATATGTAGACAAGACATGCCCTGCTGCTGCCTTCTGCCATTTCACAGATTCTCTGGCTTGCTCTGGTACTTGTTTGATTGCCATGCCATTTTACTATACCACTGTGCAGTATATAATGAGGCGTGAGCATCCATAGATTTTTGATATCTACAGGACTCTTAGAACTACACCTAAAAGGATACTGAGGGCCCAGTAGATATCTTTTCTACATCTCATCTCATTATGAATGCCACCCCATTTCTTCTTTGATTTTCATTTCCTGAATAAAACATTGTGTAAGTAACTGATTCAAAATGTCACATTCATCTTCAGTGGGTTGTTGTAGGTTTTTCGGGCTATATGGCCATGTTCTAGAAGTATTCTCTCCTGAGGTTTCACCTACATCTGTGGCAGGCATCTTCAGAGGTTGTGAGGTCACATTCACTTCAGCTCACTCGCCCCAAGTATTGTATATATCTATATATATTCCATTTCCATATGTCTAGCTTCCCTTGATTCAAGTTTCCTACAATATGTGTTATTCAGCTTTGGACTTCCCTTTCTCCTCTGAGCTCATCAGCAACTGCACGTCCTTGGGCTTGATACCAGTTGCACTACTCATAGCTGCAATACTTTAGGAGGCTGTTGAGGGCCTTGCAACCTGAGTGTGTAATTTTCAGGCACTATCCCTTGTTTCATGTAGGATTTGTCTCATCATAGGGTTTTTGTGGTAAAAGACATCAAAGGGGTTTAGCTTGCCTCCTTCTGCACAGAACTAACAAGTGTTAGTTATGGTCCCACTGCTATTGTCTCTGAGAGATCCTCCACTCGCCACTATTGGTGCTGCATGGTAGTTTTTTGGCACATTTAATCTATGTCTCCTCAGCAAAAGCCACTAATACCTTTATTATAGCATAGTTCCTTAGAGCATGGGACCACACAGTCCCACCACCATATTTATGACATTTATATCCTGCCCTTCTCACCTGGAAGGGGACTCAGAGCAGCTTACAAGTTATACTGTACAATATATTATATTATTAGCATAGCACAATATTAGTATTATATATTACTAGATTGTACTATACCACTATACTGCAATATAAAATATATAAAATATATAATTATTATATTATTATATTGCATTATTATTAGTATTACATTGTATTATAATATTATGATCAATATTATATGTACATACAATATATTATAATTAGTAGCATAGCACAATATTAGTATTATATATTACCATACTGCAATATTATTAGTAATATTACATGTAATGTATCATATACAATTATTATATTGTATTATTATATTGTACTAGCTGTACCCGCCACGCGTTGCTGTGGCCAACTTTCCCTCCCTCTTTCTTTCTTTCTTTCTTTCTTTCTTTCTTTCTTTCTTTCTTTCTTTCTTTCTTTCTCCCCCTTCTTCTTTCCCTCTCCCTTCCCTTTTTTCTGTATTGTCATTTAGCTTTTTGGGGTTTTTAAGTCCTTTCTGCTTTTTTTGAGGGGGGGGGCTATGAGTGATGGTCCCTCGTTGGTCTGTTAGGGGTATAGTCAAACTTTGTGTCAATTCATCCAGTGGTTTTTGAGTTATGTTAATCTCGCAAATGAACATTACATTTTTATTTATTTAGATTACATTATAATATTATTATAATGTAATGCCATGGTAGGATTTAAAAGTTACAAACTGACACTTATTTTTGAATCTACCATTTTATTAAAATATAAGAACTCTAACATTTTACTGTGTGTTTTTCCTGCATTTCTCTCTCTAGAATTTGTTCTCTTTTGAGGCAGGGCGGCGATGCAGTTCAGGAGAAGGTCTCTTTACTTTCAATACAACCCGAGCAGCAGAAATCTGCACAACTGTCTCGGCAGCCATAGACCACCAGAAAGCCATTCTTTTGATGGATGGAGACAAGAAAGCTGGGCTTTCCTCAGTCCAAGACTCAAAACAGAAAGCAGGGTGCTGGTCCTGGCCTGCTATTGTGGAGAGCCCGGAGGAAAAAGAACCGCTGTATGCAGGAAATCCTGTGGGACTTGCAGACAGGGACCTCCCAGCAGCTAGTGACGGCCTTTTTGCTTCCCCTAAGGTGGGAGCTCCTGAAACGCCTATCATCTATGCGTCCATTGGCAAGAGCTTTCCACCCCTCTTCCAGCCCTATGGCAATACAGAAGCAGAGCCCAAGGAGCAAAAGGACAGACTTTCTGACCATCTTTATGAGAACCTACGTGCTTTGGAACAGCAGCGCATCCTCTACTCTGAGGCTCTTGACTTTGGCTGCAGAGACTCCCCTGAGGGCAGTGCCAGCAGCAGCAACACTGAGTCCTCACCTATTTATGATAACAGCCCCGTGGCTGCCAGGCGCTCAAGTAACCATCCCTGCCCCAGTCCTACCACAGCTGTTGACCCCTCCCCAGAGATCCAGCACCCTCCTCCAATGTTGGGTTGCCAAGATGCTGCCGGGGGGAGCGAGGGGAGCAGCAAGCCCAAAGCGAGAGGAGCAGGCGCTTTCAGGCACAAGCTGGTCACCATGCTGAGCAGAGAGGGGGGAGCCTCCAAGGCCACCAGCAAGAATGAGAGTGCCATGGGCAAGTCCTAGGTGACCTGTCTAGACATAGGAGAACAGTCCCAGGACTGAGAGTTGTTCTCAGAGCTTGAGAAAGTTACCTTTTTTGATTATAACGTCCACAGTTTCCCAACCTGTGAGATTAGGCTGGCTAGGGGATTTTGAGATCTGTCATGCTCAAAACCGGACTTTCCCAGGCTCTGGTTCTTTCCATGATTCTCCCTCTCCTTCTCCATGCACTGATATCCTTGCCAGGTCTTTCTGACCTGAAGATGCAGCTTTCCAAGCTAGAGGTTGGTGACCTGGGAAGCAAGCCTAACTAGAAACTTTATTGCACCTGCTTTGGATGGTTAGTGATTGGGACAGGGATTGTTTTACTTACCACATTAGTGGACATAAAGGAATCTGGAAAGACAGGTGGATATATATGATTTAGGTGTCTTCTCTTCCCTTTTGGTCTCATTGAATGGGTTTTCTTACATTGTCACTTGTAGTCTTTGGTCATCTCAATTCTGGTTTGCTTTAGTTTTTCTCTCTGTGTGTCTCTCAATCCTTTTTGCTTTTTAGGTGGTTATACCTCCAGCGGTCTTTTTTTCCATAAAAATACCCGAGTCTTAGAAAGGTGTGTTTTGGATTGCAGCTCTAGCCAGATTGTTAAATATGGCCTATCAGTATATGTTCAAGGAGCCCCCGGTAACGCAATGGGCTAAACCCTTGTGCCAGCAGGACTGCTGACCAAAAGGTTGGCAGTTCGAATGCAGGGAGGAGGGTGAGCTCTCATCTGTCAGCTCCAGCTTCCCATGTGGGGACATGAGAGAAGCCTCCCACAGGATTGTAAAACATTTGGGCATCCCCTGGGCAACGTCCTTACAGACGGCCAATTCTCTCACACCAGAAACAACCTGCAGTTTCTTGGGTCGCTTCTGACACACACAAAAGGAAGGTTCCCATCCCATCTTCCTCTAGGCCACAGATTATAAGGATGGAAGGAAAAGGTATGCTCAAATAATTGCTAGTTGATACTGTTCTAAGTAGACCAGTGGTCCAACCATGTCTAATGCAACTTAGATTAGGTTTAATGGAATATCAATTTGGATTCTTGACAAACTCAGAATCCAGCACAATGCCATTTGTGCCCGAACAGCACAAAAATGTTTGCAACAATCTAAGATCTTTAGATTAATCCACCAGGAAGAGTGTTACAAACAGCAGGTGTGTAGCTTGCCTGGGAGAAGAGGGGGAATGTCTGACTTGAGACTGAAGTCAAGTGGATTACACTATGTCCTGGGACAGACCGGAGGAAGGAGGGAGGGAGGGGCTTGCAAACATTCACACAGGTCTCTTTCACAGGCATAGGTGGCTTTCACCTGCAATAATGGCAGTGCATGCTAGGAGGCAGAAAAGCAGAAAAATCAGTTTTAAGTATTTTAACTGTTTATTTTTAATTAATTCCACTGATGTTTAATTCTATGTACATTTTTGGGTTTTAAATTGTATCGAATTGTTTTTATTGTGAGCTGCTTTGAGTCTCCCTTGTATAGAGAAAAAGTGGGAAATAAATAAACATAATAATAAAACATGTACTTCCAATAGTTTAATAATAGCAAATGAACCTTTTAAAAACTGCTCTTAGTGGCCTTATGTTTAAATTGTTTCTCTCTTAGCCTCAAGTGTTGCTCACCTGTAATCATTACAGTATTAGTTGTTGGCATTAAACATATCTTTATATAGCTCTAACACAGTGGTTCCCAACCTGTGGGTCCCCAAGTGTTTTGGCCTACAACTCCCAGAAATCCCAGCAAGTTTACCAGCTGTTTGGATTTCTGGGAGTTGAAGGCCAAAACATCTGGGGATGACAGGTTGAGAACCACTGCTCTAAGGGAAATGTTACATTTCTTGATCTATAAGTAACCATGTCTACAGTGGATGGCTCTTGATGTACAGTAGGTAATACCTTCACCTCTGTACAGTTCTAAAATTAATGAATTTCCAGGTTCTAGTAGAATATACACTTCGTCACAGAAGCCAAAGGTCTGCACACACTACAGTGGGTATAATACTCTAATGGGTATATATACTCAGCATATACTTTTAGCATTTGCTTTGTCATGACTCCTCTTTTCCACTGGAGTGCAGTAGATCCCTTCAGTGCTATCCAGCAAGTATCTAGCTTACTTCATTTTCAAATCATGTCCAGTAAAATTGGAGAGAAGAGAGAGGAGAGATTGTTTCTGCGGAATCAGGACTGTTGGAGGATATGCAGGAGGCACCCCTATCCACATAGGGGTTTTCCACATGCAGCTCCATAGTCTGTCAATGTGTGTGTCGCCATACATGTCTCTGAAATGTCTTGCTCATTGTTTTACATTCACACATACCTTCCTCCAGTTCCTTAGATCATTTGGAAATACATTGGTTACCTTTGCTGGGTTGCTAATGTTTTTTTAAAAAAATCTCAGAATCCTAAATTTTATGACTGTAGGCAAACCTAATGGTAATCTAGCCCAACCCCTTACCACTATAGGAATACACAGCAGAAACATCTACAACAAGTCTCCATCATCACTCTAGAGCAGGGGTCCTCAAACTATGGCCTGGGGGCCAGATGCGGCCCTCCAAGGTCATTTACCTGGCCCTCACTCAGGGTCAACCTAAGTCTAAAACAACTTGAAAGCACACCACAACAACAATCCCATCTCATCAGCCAAAAGTAGGCCCACAGGTCCTATTGAAATACTAATAATTTTATATTTGTTGAAATTGTTCTTTATTTTAATTATTGTATTGTTTTTAGGTGTGTTTTTTTTTTTGAATGACAAATGAGATATGTGCTGTGTGCATAGGAATTCATTCATATTTTTTTCAAATTATAATCTGGCCCTCCAGCAGTTTGAGGTATTGTGACCTGGCCCTCTGTTTAAAAAGATTGAGGACCCCTGCTCTAGAGAATGAATCCACTTTAAATCCAGTTTCTGCCTCCTGCAGAATTCTGGGGTTTGTAGTTTATTGAGGCTATTAAAGACTCTTCTGTAAACTACAAACCCCAGAATTCTGCAGGAGGCAACAAACGGATTTAAAGTGGATTCATTCCCTAGTATGATGAGGTACTTTAAAAGCTACCAGTTAAGAAGAGGTTGGTTCCTACCCTTTAGGGCAGCAGAAAACAAGTAGGCTCTGTCCTCCACAAGAGTGCCCTTTGGGTATTTAAAGACCCCTAGCATCAACTCAGAGCAAGTTTTTCAAGAGGCAACCCCAGCAAGAATCTCACTTCAGTCTTCTCACACCAATGCTTTTTCAGTTTTCTGATATTAGATTTGGGTTAGCTCATAGGATTGAACTTCAGCAGTAAAAGTAGAAAATAGTGCTGTAACTGTGTAGTGGTCCCTGTTTTGGCCTAGTCTTCTGAATGGCCCAGCATACCTCCACATGTGGAGAGAGCAATACATTCCAATATTACATCTCCTACGCCAGCTGGGAGTTGTGATCCAAAATATCTTTTCCATGTTTTGGCAGAAAGAAATGTGTTTCTCAGCAGTTAAGGTCAAAAGGCCAAAAAAATGCAGGAAGCAGCAGAAGGCCTGCCACATTTCCTACAAAGAGACTTCCTACAAAGCTATACCAGAATGCAAAGTAGACACTATCTGTATTTTTTCTTAACAGTGTGCTGGTGATCGGGATTAATTGTGGGAAGAAAATAATATAAAGTAACACATTGAAAGATACTGTGTTTCAAAATGTGACCTCAAAATATATCCCATCTGTCTGGATTATAGTAGACAGGCAGGAGGCTTATGTATCCAATGAGGGGGTTCCCTGAAGAGGCTGCATTGAACACCAGGGGTGGATGGAAGGAGTTCCTGTTGGCGCCATCTGAGCATAATAGCGGAGCCACTTCCTGCTTGGCTTTGCTAAGGAGATCCAGATGTGTGCTTTGAATAGAAGCAGCAGGCAGCTTGCTGTAAACAACTCCAAGCCTTCATTGCAAAAGTGTGATTTGCCAATGCAGTAGCCTAACTCTATGGTTTCAGGGAAGCCGAGCTTCAAAAAACCGCCCTCTGAGCAACCAAAAAAGCCAATCTGTGCTCCCAGATTGCATTTTGCAAAGTAAAGAGGGTGAGAGATGTTGTTACTTCAAGGATTTATTACACTGGCATGTGATGAGTACCATTATCTCAGTTTTCTCTTGGATTGGAGCCCAGCCTTCAATTCAGTGGGGGAAATGATGTATATTAAAGGAGGATGGTTTCTATTTGGGCAGCTCTGAAGGGGAGATGCAGGCCAGGCCACCTGGGAGCAGCAGTACCAGCCTTTCTCCAGGAGAGGGAGCAGGAGAATCAGTTTCTACTACGAGTACTAATTAAGGAGCCCCCAGTGGTGCAGTGAGTTAAAGTGCTGAGCTGCCGAACTTGCTGACCCAGAGGTGGCCCTAGGTAATTTTCAACGGTAAGCAAACAGTATTTTGGCGCCCCCCCCCCCCCAACCAATCATTGATATATTTTTTCTTTTTGTTGTGGGAGTTCTGTGTTCTGCCATATTTGGTTCAATTCCATCATTGGTGGTGTTCAGAATGCTCTTTGATTGTAGGTGAACTATACATCCCAGTAACTACAACTCACATATGTCAAGGTCTATTTTCCCCCAAGAGCGCCTCAAGAGCGCCCCTGGCAAAATCAACTATACTGCGAATGCTTACTTTGCATAATGGGTTGAGCCGCCCCTGTGCTGACCCAATGGTCACAGATTCGAATCCAGGGAGCGGCATGAGCTCCCACTGTTATCCCCAGCTTCTGCCAACCTAGCAGTTCCAAAATATGCAAATGTGAGTAGATGAATAGGTACCGTTCCAGCGGGAAGGTAACAGTGCTCCATGAAGTCATGTCAGCTACATGACCTTGGAGGTGTTCTGGCTCTTCGGATTAGAAATGAAGATGGACACCAACTCCCAGAGTTGGACACAACTGGACTTAATGTCAGGGGAAAACCTTTATATTCACCTACTAGTACTAATACTTGGCAGACAGAAAGGATACGGGGTGCACCCATTAAGTGTTTGCAATTTGAGGTACCATGGTTACCTTAAGAACTGGCCCCAGTGAATTGCTGAAGAGAATTTTTTTTTTACTTCCCAGTTCTGGAAATCTGGAAGAGTCAGCGATAAATGTGTTTCTCTCTCTGTATATACTCCTCCAATGATCGTCATGATCATCAAGTTTGCAGACGGCACTAAATTGGAGGGATAACAGAATTTAAAAAGATCTTAACAAATTAGAGAGATGGGCCAAAACTAAAAAAAAAAAGTTCAACTGGGACAAATGAAAGATACTCCACTTAGGCTGAAAAAATGATATGCAAAGATACAGAATGGGGGACGCCTGGCTCAACAGCAGTACATGTGAAAAAGACCACGGAATCCTCGTGGACAACAAGTTAAGTGTGAGCCATCAATGTGATGAGGTGGCTTAAAAAGCCAATAGGATTACAGTGTCTAAATGCAGGGAAGAACATGCTGCCCCTCTATTCTGCCTTGGTCAGGCCACAGCTTAAATACTGTGTCCAGTTCTGGGCACCACAATTGAAAGGAGATGTTGACAAGCTGGAAATGTGTCCAGAGGAGGGCGACTAAAATGATCAAGGGTCTGGAGAACAAGCCCTATGAGGAGTGGCTTAAAAAGCTGGGCAGAAGCCTGCAGAAGAGAAGACTGAGAGGAGACATGATGGCCATGTATAAATATGTATAAATATGTGAGGGGAAGTCATAGGGAGGAAGGAGCAAGCTTGTTTTCTGCTGCCCTGGAGATTAGGACACAGAACAATGCTTTCAGACTTCAGGAAAGGAGATACCACCAGAACATTAGGAAGTACTTCCTTACGTGAGAGTGAGAGCTGTTCAGCAGTGGAACTCTCTGCCCCAGAGTATGGTACAGGCTCCTTCTTTGAAGGCTTTTAAGCAGAGGCTGGACAGCCATCTGTCAGGGGTGCTTTGAATGCTATTTTCCTGCTTCTTGGCAGGGGGTTAGACTGGATGGCCCACATGGTCTCTTCCAACTCTATGATTCTATAAGTTGCCTCTCAACTTGTGTCAACTGCTTTAATTTCATAAGCTTTCCTAAACTTGGAGGTGGTTTGCCTGTTCCTTTTTCCAATACCTCAGCTGCTTGTACACTGTAGAATTAGCACAGTTTGACACCACTTTAACTGACATGATTGAATGCTATGGAATCCTTGGCATTGTAGCTTGGTGAGGCATCAGCATTCTTAGGCAGAGATGGCTAAAAACCTTGTAAAACTACAATTCCCAGGATTTCATAGCATTGAGTGATAGCAGTTAAAGTGGTGTCAAACTACATTACTTCTACAGTGTAGATGCACCCCTGCAACACTTGGTATTCACTGGCAATTTCCCATCCAAGTACTGAAAAGGGTTGACTCTGTGTAGCTTTCAAGATCAGATTCTGGAGCCTTTAGGGTATTTTGGAGGGAATGTACTTCTCTTCCCTTCCCCTCCTTTTCTGATGCCTACATAGGAACACATATTGGGAAACGTATGGCTATAGAGTACTGCATAAATATATATAAAGCAAATCTCATTCCTAGGATTACCTTTTTA